TACTGCATTCTAACCGGAAGGAAGGAAGGAAGGAAGGAAGGAAGGAAGGAAGGAAGGAAGGAAGGAAGGAAGGAAGGAAGGAATAGCACTAGCACTTAGACTAACTTACTACTTCACAGTGTTTTACAGCCCTCTGTAAGCAGTTTACAGAGTCAGCCTCTTGCCCTCAACAATCTGGGTCCTCATTTTACCCACCTCGGAAGGACAGAAAGCTGAGTCAACCTTGAGCCTGGTGAAATTCGAACTACCAAATTGCAGTCAGTAGAAGTAGCCTGCAGTACTGCGCTCTTAACCACTGCACCACCATGGCCCAGGCTAGCAACGACTGTGTCATCCCACTCCATGGGTGTGGGGGAAGTGTGGAGAATTGTCTATAGGTCATACTTAATCTTCTGGCTCAGTGAAGTATGCAAACCATCTAGATTTAGAGGACGCTTTCAGAGAGACACTTCTGCTTCTTCTCTGAACAATTGGCCAAAGCACTGCAGGGAACATGGTTCGTTGTGTTTGACTTTCCTGCGAATGTTGCCAAGAGCAGGCATTTGTCAACCGCGACCCCGTGGCTCATGTCTCAGCTGGCACTGTGATACTTCTTGTCATTGCCTTCCATGCCAGACATGTCTAGACACTGTGGGGTGGAGTGAAGTGCTAGGAATGAGAGTGACAAAGTGCCCCGGTCAACACCTCCAGGTTGTGGCACTACAGTAGCTTCTTCTTCTTCTTCTTCTTCTTCTTCTTCTTCTTCTTCTTCTTCTTCTTCTTCTTCTTCTTCTTCTTCTTCTTCTTCTTCTTCTTCTTCTTCTTCTTCTTCTTCTTCTTCTTCTTTTCTCTCTCTCCCTCTCTCTCTCTCTTAAATGCAATACTGTCATTACCATAATCACCGGGCAAATATTCCATTTATCATCATGGGCCAAGTCACACCAGGCTTCAAGCCAGAAGAAAGCGTGTGGAAAATCACCTAAAAGGGTGTTTTGTAGCTCTCCTGTTCATGAAAGAAACCTGTGTGACTTTTTGTGTTGTGCTGCATTCGAGGGGAGGTGTTGTTTTTCAAGGTTGTGTAACCTTCAATCAAGGTTGCCTCCAGATTTTGCCGAAATCTAAACTCAGCACTGTATATTTCTTAAAAGCTATCTCTAGATTATTTGAGGAATGCCAAAGGATGTCAAACAGGTTTCAGAGTAGCCCCATTGTTTAAGGAACAAGTTGGAGGTTCTCTTTTTTAGAGAGGTTTTTTTTTTTTTTTTTTGGTCTGGGGCAGAAAAAGGGATTTTTCAAATTCATTTTATGTCCCAAATATATTTCTTAGCATTTTTGTTTCAAGAACTGTATCACTACATCCTGGGACATACAAAATTGGATAAATCCAGTCTAATCCAACCCATTGCTTTAGGGGGCTTCAGTTGGAAAGTTCAAAGATGAAATTCTTCAAAGTTCCTCTGTTTTATTCTGTTTTTTTTAAAAAAAAAAAAAAAACTTCCAGAAAGTTTTGATCATCAATTGCTACTATTGTTACCCATTACTCTTCCTTTATTGCTGAGCCTCGTTGTTGTGCTTTACAATACTGTACTTTAATGTTGTTCTGATTTTGCGTAAGTTTGTCTCTCTCTTAGAAAAACTAAGGATCTGGAGATGTCTTACTTATTACAAATGCACAGCAATCTTTGGTGGAATTCCCCATGAGACCCACCCAGGCTGAAGGCTGGGTGAAAACAGTTCCCACAAACACGTTAGGCCAGTTCCACTTTCCTTTAGCTTGTTTTCCGAATTTTATTTTATTTTTTTAAGTACAGAAGACATCTTTTTTATGGGGTCAAAACAATACACGTTTAAAGAAGAAAAGACGTAAGTATTAAATGAAAGAGGAAAAGGAAAAAGATATAAAGAAGAGGCTTTTGATCTTTACAGCACTTAGAGTTGCATTTATATTTATCCTGACTATGTATGCTTATATTGTGGCTCCTTTCTTTCAATATTGAGAAGGAAGGAAGGAGGGAAGAAAGAAAGGAAAAGAAGAAAGAAAGAAGGAAGAAAGAAAAAAAGAAAGAAAGAAAGAAAGAAAGAAAGAAAGAAAGAAGGAAGGAAGGAAGGAAGGAAGGAAGGAAGGAAGGAAGGAAGGAAGGGAAGGAAGGAAGGAAGGAAGGAAGGAAGGAAGGAAGGAAGGAAGGAAAGGAAGGAAGGAAGGAAGGAAGGAAGGAAGGAAGGAAGGAAGGAAGGGAGGGAGGGAGGGAGGGAGGACAAAGGGGATGGAAGAAGGGAGGAAGAGGGAGGAAAGGAAGGAGGGAGGGGGGAGAAAGGAAGGAAGGACAGGAGGGGGAAGGGAGAAAAGAAGAACAAGAGGGAGGGAGGGAAAGGGGAGGGAGAGGGAGGGAGGGAGGGAGGAAGGTATCTCCAAGTTTAAAGCTTGCTTCAGGAAAAAAATATATTTTAAAAAATGACTGTTGTCATTTGC